TCTTTTGCAGCCAAAGGTGAGGCGGGCCTGGCCCACTCCTTGGTGACCCCAACTGACCCCAACACTGAGTGGCTGGGAACTGACCCAGGCTGAGCTGAGGCAGCTGTCAAAGCAGTCCTAAAATTAGCCCCAACAGGGATAGGGAGGGGGATCTGGCCCAGGCTTAAGGCTCCCACGGCCCCGAGGGACTGAGCCCACACCTCACTCAAGATAGAAGAGGTCAGCCAGAGTTTTGGCAGTGACCTACCCAGAGGCTAGGAGGGGAGAGGGGACATTCACAAGCTAGGATGAACACGGTTCAGAAGGGAGATTGATGGGCAGGAGGTGCCCCCTGCCAGTTGCTTGGACCTTATGTGGCTCCCAGCCCCGAGCCTTTCATAACCCTGAGAGGAACCAAGGAGACACCTCAGTATTTATGCTCCTAGAACAGGACTGAGGGCCCAGCCTGTCCTCCCAAGGCTGAACTGGTTAACCTCACGCCTTAGCGGCAGGTCCCAAGAGCAGAGGAGGAGCCAGGAGGTGTGTTAGCCTGATTGAGAGAGGTATGGACTGGAGACACCTGGGACAGGCCCAAAGTCAGCCCCATCCTGCCCAGGGATGTAGCTGTACCCACTTCCCTCCTCTGCCTTGGTGCTCTGAGAATCTTATTTAAAATGCAGGTCCTGTCTGAGTGTGGTAGCTCATGCCTGTAATCCCAGCACCTTGGGAGGCCAAAGAGGGAGGATCACTTGAGGCCAGGACTTTGAGATCAGTCCTGGCAATATGACAAGACCTCCACCTGCCTCTACAAAAAACTTTTTAAAAAATTAGCTGGATGTGGTGTCACGTGCCTGTAGTCCCAGTTACTTGGGAGGCTGAGGCAGAAGCATTGCTTGATCCTGGGAGTTCGAGGCTGCAGTGAGCTATTGAGTATGATTGTACTACTGCACTGCAGTCTGTCACTGACAGAGTGAGACTCCATCTCTTAAAAAAAATTAAAAACCAAAACCAAAAACAGATCATGATTCAGAAGATCTGGGGTCAGGTATGAGATTCTTCAAGATTCTAACAAGGTCCCAGATTGGCCTGAAGATCACCCTTTGAGCACGAAACTCATTTGCAGCTTGGGTGGACCCCAAGGTCAGGGCCCCTGTCTTCTCCTGTTCACAGGTACCCTCAACTCCCATCTGCAGTAGAACCTGGCATGGGCATATGGGCACACAATATACCAGGCGGCTGACTGCTTTATTGTGGGTTCCCGACTAGGCACGTAGGTGTGCGGGGATCCCCGGGCCTCTGTGTCTACTGCATGTCTCTTGTTACATGTGTAAAAAGTGAACAAAGATGCACATATACAATAATGATGACATAAAAGTAGCTAAAGTTTAAAAAATAGCTAATCTTTATTGAGCACTATGCCCAGGCAAGGTACTAGGAATGTTACACGCAGTATCTTATTTAATTCTCATAACAACTCCTATGAGATGAGAAAACTGAGGCTCAGAGAGGTTAAGTGAGTTGCTCAAGGTCACACAGCTGATAAGTGTCAGTCAGGACTGGAATATGCATGTGTACCCATGTTGATCAGTGCACCCATCTTGGTGCATGTGAGCTTGTGGGCATGCGTGCTATTGGGTGGGCACAGGGGATGCAGGAGGTGAGTAGCAGCAAGGATGGGGTGGGCAGGGTAAGAGCCATGCACGACGATTCAGACTGTGGGCTTTCCGCAGGTAGAAAGACAGAAAGAGACCTAGGCGGAGGGAGATGCAGGCAGGAGGCGGCAAGTCTGGGCCTGAGTCTTCATACTGCAGGACCAGCTTTGCCTTTTCCTCTGTGGAATGAGTGGGATAATATTTGCCTCATGAGACTCTGCTGTGAGAAAGAAACACGGTAACAATACAAGTGTGCCACACAGGCCTGCCTGGCACACAGTAGGCACTCAGGATGTGTGAGCTGGCCCTTCCTTCCCCTAGGGACTGAACTGCTTGGGAGTAGCTTGTGCCCTGACTGGTAGCAGCCAGCTCGCTGGATGAAAGGAGGCATCCTGGGGAGGGCTGGGATGAGGGAAAGGCATGGAGGGTGGAGAAGGTTGTAGCTGAGGGAGCACCCAGGGAGGGACAGGCACCCGAACAGAGCTCAGAAACTGGCCCACTACCCTTGCCTTGGCAGAGACAGGAGAAGCTGCAAGGCTGGAGACGCCTCAATTCTGGAGAACCCTCTCCGGAAAGCAAACACCCTGTCCCTTGACTCAGCCCTCAGCTACGCCACACACATCAGCCCTCACGGTCCTGCAGGCCATGCCCGCCGGAGACCAGATTTCTGGGCTGGGCCGGGCATTGTTTAGGCTGGGCTTTGGAAGTGCCCAGTGACTCACTTACCCTTCCTCCATCCACAACCCGATCTTGCTCCTGGAGCTGGGGTGCCCTGAAGCTGCCCACACGTGGGTGGCTCCCAGAAGGGGGAAGCTGTGAGGCCGCACCGGGCAGACCCTTACGCCTCAGCAAGTCTGCTGCCTAAGTCCCTCCTTGTGGTTGGTGAGCTGCCTCCTGCAGGGCTCTATAAAAAGCAGGTGGGTTGCCTGAGTGAGCCTCAGTCCCACCTGGGACCTGGAGTGAAGGGGACACTCAGGTGGATCCCCCATGCCATCCAGAAACAGGTGCTGGGAGTGGAGCAGAAGGTACAGATCCCACCCCAGCCACCCATCCAAGTTGCTGATGGGAGTACGTCCAGAGGCAGCTGTGGAAGGGTGACTCTAACGCCCCCGTGTGGCAGCAGAGGAGAAAGGCAGGGCTGGGCAGAGGTGTGGGAAACAGCCTCTGGATAGGGTGAGTCCAGTGTGAGGTGCCCTTCCTGGGTAATAGGGTGAGGGCTCTATCTACTGACACAGCCTCGGTCCCTACAGATCACTCCAATCCAGTATCCACCTCCCCCACCAAACCGGGAGCCCCTATCAGACTGGGTAGGGCAAGGTTGGATCCATCATATCTCTACAGCATGCTGGGAGGACATTGTGAGGGCTTGAGGAAGCGATTTCAGTGGAATTGAATTCAGTATAAATGAAAGGAAATAGTGTGGAATGTGGAATGTGCACAAAGACATGAACAATATGTTCATTCAATCAATGCGTGTAAAAGCAGAAACTGTGTTGGTTATTGTTGAAGTGGGTGATGGGCACAGGGGTTCATTACACCATTCAATTCATTTTTGCGTGTGTTTGAAATATTTTGAAATGAAAGAATTAATAGAAAACATAAAGGTCCAGCAATAGAAATCTAAATCAATTATGATGCAGCTGTGCAAAGGAATGTCTCCAGACATTAAAAATACTGCTGTTGTTTTTTGTTTTTAATTATTTATGACAGCTTTATTGATATATAATTTGTATAGCATACAATTCACCCATTTAAAGTATACAATTCAGTGGTTTTTAGTATATGCACGAAGTTTTGAACCAGCACAGTCAATTTTAGAACATTTTCTTTTTCTTTTTTTTTAAGACGGAGTTTCGCTCTTGTTACCCAGGCTGGAGTGCAATGGCGCGATCTCGGCTCATCGCAACCTCCGCCTCCTGGGTTCAGGCAATTCTCCTGCCTCAGCCTCCTGAGTAGCTGAGATTACAGGCACACGCCACCATGCCCAGCTGATTTTTTGTAGTTTTAGTAGAGACGGGGTTTCACCATGTTGACCAGTATGGTCTCGATCTCTTGACCTCGTGATCCACCCGCCTCGGCCTCCCAAAGTGCTGGGATTACAGGCTTGAGCCACTGCGCCCGGCCCAATTTTAGAACATTTTCATCTTCCCTTAACAAAACTCCACATCCATTATCAGTCACTCTTCATTTCTTCCCAGACCTCCCCATCCCACCGCCTATAAATTTACTTTCTGTCTTTATAGATTTGTCTGTTTTGGATATTTTATATGAGTGGAGTCATACAATATGTGATCGTCTGCGTCTGGCTTCTTTGATTTAGCATAACTTTTTTTTTTAATTTAATTTTATTGCATTTTAGGTTTTGGGGTACATGTGAAGAACATGCAAGATTGTTGCATAGGCACACACGTGGCAGCATGATCTGCTGCCTTCCTCCTCATCACCCACATCTAGTACTTCTCCCCAAGCTCTCTCTCCCCAACTCCCCCCCCGCTGTCCCTCCCCTATTTCCCCCCAACAGACTCCAGTGTGTAGTGCTCCCCTCCCTGTGTCCATGTGGTTTCATTGTTCAACACCCGCCTATGAGTGAGAACATAGCATAACGTTTTTAAGGTTCATCTATGTTTTAGCATGTAACAGTACTTCATTCCTTTTTGTGACTGAATAATATTCCATTGTATGGATATATCACATTTTATTGATTCATTCATTTATGGATGGGCATTTGGACTGTTTCCATTTTTAAGCTATTATAAATAATGCTGCTATGAACATTCATGTACAAGTTTCATGTGTGGACACATGTTTTTATTTCTCTTCAATATATACCTAGCAGTGAAATTTCTGGGTCTTAAGGTAAACCTATGCTTACCTATTTGAGGAACTTCCAGACTGTTTTCCAAAGGGGCTGCACCATTTTACATTGCCTCCAGCATTGTATGAAGGTTCCAATTCGCCACATTTTGTTATTATCTGTCTTCTTCATTCTAGCCTTCCCAGTGGGTGTGGACATGTAATTTTTAATGACTTGGGGAAAATATCCATGGTATAATGTTAGATTTTTTTTTTTTTTTTTTTTTTGAGACGGAGTTTCACTCATGTTACCCAGGCTGGAGTGCAATGGCGCGATCTCGGCTCACCGCAACCTCCACCTCCTGGGTTCAGGCAATTCTCCTGCCTCAGCCTCCTGAGTAGCTGGGATTACAGGCACGCACCACCATGCCCAGCTAATTTTTTGTATTTTTAACAGAGACGGGGTTTCACCATGTTGACCAGGATGGTCTCGATCTCTTGACCTCGTGATCCACCCGCCTCGGCCTCCCAAAGTGCTGGGATTACAGGCTTGAGCCACCGCGCCCGGCCAATGTTAGATTTTTAAAAGCAATCTTTAGAACTATTCATACAGGGTAATCTCAACTCTGTAAAATGCATATGTCTATAGACACCAGACTCAAAAGAAAAAAATAATCTACCAAAATGTTAATATGATTATCTGTGGCAATTTGGGGTAATTTTTATTCTTTCCTAAATTTTTGACAATTTGGACATGCATGGATGGGATAAAAACCCAATATTATAAAAGAAGGTAAAGAAAAATAATATATGTTGATGGAAAGATAATACAAATAAATTTAAATAAACATTAAAACATACGGAATGAAGCTGCTTAAGGATCTGTGTGCAGGACTATGGTGTGGGCACTTGGAGGAGGGTGTCTGAGTATGGTTGGAGAAGCAGAAGGGTCAGGCCATTGATTCTGGGACATGAGGGTGTGCAGAAAAGGAGCAGTCACTCTCAGAGGGAGTCAGGGAAGCTTCATTGGAAGACGAAACTCTGCAGCTTGGCTGCATCTGAAGCAAGAGGAGAGATGGGTGGGAGCTGGGGGCATCCAGAGCCCAGACACGTCAGACACAGGCCTGATCTCTGTGCACACAAGCCTCTGGGGTTGCAGCAAGGGCACAAATGTCTCTAAAGGCAGAGACAGGGATCTGAGTGACCCTGGCTCTGCCCTAACTTGAGGTGACTGACCTAGCCCCATGCATTGAGGATGAGTCTCCTTACCTTCAAAATGGCCCTGATAACTTCCCTTGAGGGCTGTTGTGAGGCTTGAGTGAGACGGGAGTGTGCAACAGCCACGCCTCTCCCACAACAGGTGAGGGATTTGCTGCAAGGGCAGAGGGAGAGACAAGGTGACTCTAACGGTGGGGTGATGTCAGGGGAGGTTTGGCAGGGAGCAACCCTGAGCTGGGCTTTGAAGGATGGAGGCTGGTAGAGGAGGAGCTATTTCAGGCAAAAGCAACTGGGATAGGCCTGCTTGGGGGTGGGGTGCTGGAGACAGGGTTGCCTGGCCTGTTCATAATAAGAAGTCACCACAGTAAAGATACAAATAGTCTCCTGGGAGAGAGGCCAAGCCACCTCATTATCTACTTTACCACCTAAGCCCAGAAAGGGTGGAGCAGGCTCAAGGTCACCTGGGGAGATTCTAGCCTCAGCTTCCCAGCAGAGGGGTCTTCTATAGAAAGTGACCCCAAGACAGGGGGCTGTCATGGGAGTCACAGATTTGCACCCCAAATTTAAGGGGGTATCTGAGCCCTGTGTGTCCTTCCTACCCACCTCTCAGGTAAGTGGCTTTCCTGGTGTCACGGGGTTGGAATGGGGGAGTTTTATTTTCTTCTTTTGCTCCTCTGTTTTTTCCAAGTCTTCTACACTGGGCAAGTACTACCTTTGTTATTGCAGCAAATGGCATGGGCTGCTGTTGCTGTTTTTAAAAAAAACATTTGCAGGATGATTTTGCAAAAAGTCAGTGTTACAAAATCTCTCAACTTATTGTCAAATGTTTCTGGAAAAAAAGTATTCAGGGAGATACAGCAAATGTAGCAAGGTATTAACCATTGATGCTTAGGCAAAATGTATGTCACTGTTCATGATACTATTCTTTCAACTTTTCCATAGATTTAAATTTTTTAAAGTTTTTTTGGAAAAAAAGAAGATATAAAACCATACACACAATGGAAACAAAAAATTGGAAGGAGAGAACACTAAACAATAAAACAAAATCTTTGTGACCTTGAGTTAGGCAAAGGTTTTATAAATACAATACCGGAAACATGATCTATAAAGGAAAGCTATTGGTAAATTGGACTTTATCAAAATTAAGAACATTTGCTCTTTGAAAGAAACTATTAAGAGAATGAAAAGACAGGCTACTAACTAGGAGAGACTATTGCAGTACACATACCCAAGAAATGATTTGTGTCTACAACATAGAAAGAACTCTCAAAACTCAATAGCAGGAAAACAAACCACCCAATTATTAAAAAAAAAAAAAGGAGGCAAAAGGTTTGAGCAAATATTTCACCAAGAAGGTGTATGGATAGTAAATAAGCACATAAAAAAATGCTCAAACACATCATTACCTATTAGGACAATGAAAATTAAAACCACAATGAGCCGGGCGCGGTGGCTCACGCCTGTAATCCCAGCACTTTGGGAGGCCGAGGTGGGTGGATCACAAGGTCAAGAGATGGAGACCATCCTGGTCAACATGGTGAAACCCCGTCTCTACTAAAAATACAAAAAATTAGCTGGGCATGGTGGCACGTGCCTGTAATCCCAGCTACTTGGGAGGCTGAGGCAGGAGAATTGCCTGAACCCAGGAGGCAGAGACTGCGGTGAGCCGAGATCGTGCCATTGCACTCCAGCCTGAGAGCGAAACTCCGTCTCAAAAAAAAAAAAAAAAACCACAATGAGATACATCTATTAGAATGGCTAATATTAAAAAGCCTGACCATACCAGGTGTTGGTGAGAATATGGAGCAACCAGAACTCTCACACATTGCTGGTGGGAATGCATAATAGGGGAACCACTTCTTAAAAAGTAAAACACAAACCTGCCATATAACCCAGCCACTCCACTTCTAGCTATTTACTCAAGATAAATAAAAGCATATGTCCAAAGACTTATACAGAAATGTTCAAGGCAGCTTTATTTGTAATAGCCTTAAACAGGAAACAACCCAAATGTCCATCAACAGGTGAATGTATGAACAATCTGTGGCATAGCCATACAATGGAATACTACTCAGCAAAAAGCAATGAACTGGTGGATAACTTCTGGAATGGTGGCATGAGCAGCTCTGCAAACCTTCCAGACCTTCTCCCCAGCAGAACAAGTAAAACTGCTAAAAAATTATACATACATAATTATCTATTTATATCTACATTAATATCAAGATAGATGTATGTTCCTGGGAATTTTCCTAAGGGTCTACAGCAGATGAAGGAACATTTATTCAAGAAAATCTACTTAATTTCAGTAAGAATAGTAAGAGTCTGGGACATCTGAGCTAGAACTCACTCCTTCCCTGGCCCCCTGCACCTCCAGCTCAGCATGATGTCAACTCCACTCCAGACAGGTGAAGCCAAGAATGCAGAGCTCTTTCTTCTCCCAGATTCTAATCCTCTCAGCTCTGTTGCTGGAAAAATCTGTTAGCCACCTGCAAAAGAGCAAATATGCAAAAATTAACTCAAAATGGATCAAAGACCTAAATGTAAAAGCTAAAACTATAAAACTCTTAGAAGAAAACATAGGGGTGAGTCTTCATGCCCTTGGATTTGGCAATGTATGTTATTATAACTATTGTTTTCTTTGAGACAGAGTCTTGCTCTGTCACCCAGGCTGGAGTGCAGTAGTTCGATCTCAGTTTACTGCAACCTTTACCTCCCAGGTTCAAGCGATTCTCGTGTCTCAGCCTCCCAAGTAGCTGGGATTACAGGCATGCGCCACCACACCCAGCTAATTTTTGTATTTTTATCAGAGACAGGGTTTCACCATGTTGGCCAGGCTGGTTTCAAACTCCTGACCTCAAGTTATCCACTCACCTTAGCCTCCCAAAGTGCTAGGATTACCTACAGGCATAAGCTACTGCACCTGGCGTGGCAATGTATTCTTAGAACAACAAAAGCACAATCAATCAACAACAAGAATGGGGGATTTGTAAATCATATATCGGATAAAGAATTTGTATCTAAAATATATAAAGCATGGTTAAAGTCTGGGGGCTGTGGCTGGCTCACATTTGTAATCCCAGCACTTAGGTAGGTCAAGGCAGGTGGATCACCTGAGGCTATGAGTTCAAGACCAGCCTAAGCAATATAGTGAAACCCCATCTCTACAAAAAATAAATTAGCTGGGCATGGTGGCATGTGCCTATAGTCCCAACTACTCAGGAGGCTGAGGCAGAAGGATCACTTGAGCCCAGGAGGTCAAGGCTGCAGTGAGTAGTGACCGTGCCACCGCACTCCAGCCTGACAAAGCAGAACCCTGTCTCAAAAAATTAAATAAAAATAAATAAATAAATAAATAAAACAAATGAGAAAAGCATTCACTCGCTATTAAAAGTACAGTGTTAGCTTTAGGTTTTTTGTGTTGTTTAGTTTTGGCTTTTATTTTTTACTTTTTTTCTTTGTTGAGACAGGGTCTCACTCTGTCACCCCAGCTGGAGTACAGTGGTGTGATCTTGGCTCACTGCAGCCTTGAACTCCCAGGCTCAGGCGATCCTCCCGCCTTGGCCTCCTGAATAGCTGGGACCACCATGCCCAGATAATCTTTGTATTTTTATTAGAGACTGGGTTTTGCCACGTTGCCTAGGCTGGTCTTGAACACCTGGGCTCAAGCAATCTGCCTGCCTCAGCCTGCCTGGGATTATAGGCATGAGCCACTGCACCCGGCCCTAGTTCAAATTTTATTTATTTATTTATTTAATGGAGACAGGGTTTCACCATGTTGGCCAGGCTGGTCCCAAACTCCTGACGTCAGGTGATCTGCCTGCCTCGGCCTCCCAAAGTGCTGGGATTATAGGCGTGAGCCACCACGCCCAGCCTGTAGTTCAAATTTTTTTTTTTTTTTTTTTTTTGAGACGGAGTTTTGCTCATGTTACCCAGGCTGGAGTGCAATGGCGCGATCTCGGCTCACCGCATCCTCCGCCTCCTGGGTTCAGGCAATTCTCCTGCCTCAGCCTCCTGAGTAGCTGGGATTACAGGCACGTGCCACCATGCCCAGCTAATTTTTTGTATTTTTAGTAGAGACGGGGTTTCACCATGGTGACCAGGATGGTCTCGATCTCTTGACCTCATGATCCACTCGTCTCGGCCTCCCAAAGTGCTGGGATTATAGGCTTGAGCCACCGCGCCTGGCCCGCTGTGTCATTTTTAAAAATTTGAACTAGAGGGCCGGGCACGGTGGCTCAAGCCTGTAATCCCAGCACTTTGGGAGGCCGAGGCGGGTGGATCACGAGGTCAACAGATCGAGACCATCCTGGTCAACATGGTGAAACCCCGTCTCTACTAAAAATA